TCGTGTGTAAACCGCTTTTCATTCATAAACAGGGGGTTTGGCGGGTGCATGGAATCACTTTTGGATCTTTGTTTGGAGGACGGGCTGAATACTGAGTCGCTTGCTCAGGGCCCTCCAACTTTGAATGGCAGTCACCACAAGGGCTCGTGCAGCCCGTCCTCCAAACAAAGATCCAAAAGTGATTCCATGCACCCGCCAAACCCCCTGTTTATGAATGAAAAGCGGTTTACACACGACTCACAACAAGTGCTTCACTGACGAATTTTGTTTGAATCACAACGCTATAAATGCTTCACCCACGTACTACAAATACAAATAATCGCCAGCAGAACCTAAACACCTAACCTAACCTATCCTATGCCTATATATACACAATATGCTAATATATTATAATACTAATTTATACTTGAGAAAATTCCCGTTTTGAATAAACAGCATGTTAAATTTTATGAATGCGTCTGTGGGGTCGACCGCTGAATGTAATGGATTTGAGTCGAGGACGGGTTGGTAAATGTAATTCGTTCATGCATACAAAGATCCAATCTCTTTAATACAACCCGTGAGAACGGGTTGTGGTCTCACACCAGGCTGTTTAAAGCAGCGGCCGTCCTCCCCAGACGCATTCATCAATTTTAACTTACTGTGCATTAAAAATTGGTTTATTCTCATATATAAATTAATATTCTTATACATAAAAATTGTATGTATAGTTAGGCGTAGGTTAGGTGTTTAGGTTCTGTTAGTAATTATTTGTATTTATAAGTTCATGGGTGAAGCATTTATAGAATTGTGGTTCGAATAGAGGACGTGAGCGAAGCACTGGTTCCGGAAGTGTTCGGACGTCATCAGTTGTGAGTCCTGCGTAAACCGCTTTTCATTCATAAACAGGAGGTTTGGCGGCTGGATTAAAGAGCTTGGATCTTTGTATGCGAGAACGGGTTGGAGATATATGATAAATACGAGTTATTAAACTATGACTAACTTGCTGTTAGTCACAGGCCTGTGACTAGCCTAATAGTTAGCACAGGCCTGTGACTAGCCTAATAGTTAGCACAGGCCTGTGACTAGCCTAATAGTTAGTCACAGGCCTGTGACTAGCCTAATAGTTAGCACAAACCTAACTATTCTACTTTAAACCTATTAATCGAGCACTAGTTAATACAGTTATAGTACGTTTAGAACGGAGAACTCTAATATGTCCAGTCAGCATTAAACATCGTCCAAACGACTCTTTACGGGCTCACCATAGCCCGTGCTACATGGACACTTCGTCCTGAGTAGCTAAATCTTTAACAACATTAAACATCCTCCAGTGTAGATGAGGCTACTAGTGCAAACATCCTCCAGTGTGGATGAGGCTACTAGTACAAACATCCTCCAGTGTGGATGAGGCTACTAGTACAAACATCCTCTAGTGTGGATGAGGCTACTAGTACAAACATCCTCCAGTGTGGATGAGGCTACTAGTACAAACATCCTCCAGTGTGGATGAGGCTACTAGTACAAACATCCTCCAGTGTAGATGAGGCTACTAGTGCAAACATCCTCCAGTGTGGATGAGGCTACTAGTACAAACATCCTCCAGTGTAGATGAGGCTACTAGTGCAAACATCCTCCAGTGTGGAGGAGGCTACTAGTACAAACATCCTCCAGTGTGGATGAGGCTACTAGTACAAACATCCTCCAGTGTAGATGAGGCTACTAGTACAAACATCCTCCAGTGTAGATGACACTACTAGTACAAACATCCTCCAGTGTGGATGAGGCTACTAGTACAAACATCCTCCAGTGTAGATGAGGCTACTAGTGCAAACATCCTCCAGTGTGGATGAGGCTACTAGTACAAACATCCTCCAGTGTAGATGAGGCTACTAGTGCAAACATCCTCCAGTGTGGATGAGGCTACTAGTACAAACATCCTCCAGTGTGGATGAGGCTTAGTATAAACATCCTCTAGTGTGGGTGAGGCTACTAGTACAAACATCCTCCAGTGTGGATGAGGCTACTAGTACAAACATCCTCCAGTGTGGATGAAGCTACTAGTACAAACATCCTCCAGTGTGGATGAGGCTACTAGTACAAACATCCTCCAGTGTGGATGAGGCTACTAGTACAAACATCCTCCAGTGTAGATGAGGCTACTAGTGCAAACATCCTCCAGTGTGGATGAGGCTACTAGTACAAACATCCTCCAGTGTGGATGAGGCTACTAGTACAAACATCCTTCAGTGTGGATGAGGCTACTAGTACAAACATCCTTCAGTGTAGATGAGGCTACTAGTACAAACATCCTCCAGTGTGGATGAGACTACTCGTACAAACATCCTCCAGTGTGGATGAGACTACTAGTACAAACATCCTGCAGTGTAGATGAGACTACTAGTACAAACATCCATCAGTGTGGATGAGGCTACTAGTACAAACATCCTCCAGTGTGGATGAGACTACTAGTACAAACATCCTCCAGTGTGGATGAGGCTACTAGTACAAACATCCTCCAGTGTGGATGAGGCTACTAGTACAAACATCCTCCAGTGTGGATGAGGCTACTAGTACAAACATCCTCCAGTGTGGATGAGACTACTAGTACAAACATCCTCCAGTGTGGATGAGACTACTAGTACAAACATCCTCCTGTGTGGATGAGGCTACTAGTACAAACATCCTCCAGTGTGGATGAGACTACTAGTACAAACATCCTCCAGTGTGGATGAGACTACTAGTACAAACATCCTCCAGTGTGGATGAGACTACTAGTACAAACATCCTCCAGTGTGGATGAGACTACTAGTACAAACATCCTCCAGTGTGGATGAGACTACTAGTACAAACATCCTCCAGTGTGGATGAGACTACTAGTACAAACATCCTCCAGTGTGGATGAGACTACTAGTACAAACATCCTCCAGTGTGGATGAGACTACTAGTACAAACATCCTCCAGTGTGGATGAGACTACTAGTACAAACATCCTCCAGTGTGGATGAGGCTACTAGTACAAACATCCTCCAGTGTGGATGAGGCTACTAGTACAAACATCCTCCAGTGTGGATGAGACTACTAGTACAAACATCCTCCAGTGTGGATGAGACTACTAGTACAAACATCCTCCTGCTGTTCTATTAGTGCTTGTTATAGGTTACTGCAGGAAATGACTCCTCATTTGATCTACTCTTTGTAATATTACATATAAATGAAATTTCAAATAAAATCGTGTATCAGCACATTGCTGTGTGTACCTAAGCTTGCTTATAGTAAAAAACAAAATCATGTAAACTGTGAGAAACTCATATTATTTTATACCAAAATAATATGAGACACTCACAGGAGCTTTAATTGTTACTATATTTCTTTCACTCGCGGATATTATAAGATATTAATAATTTAGTCTTGGTGGTGAAGTGGTAAGACACTCGCCTGGCGTTCCGCGAGCGCTATGTCATGGGTTCGTATCCTGGCAGGATACGAACCCATCACCCTTAGTATTTGATGACTAAGCAGAAAAGGAGAGGAGCGAGGGGGTCACCCTGTTGGACGCCTTCTCGCGAGTCAATTTCATGTTCGCGTTCCGCGAGCGCTATGTCATGGGTTCGTATCCTGGCAGGGGAGGATTTACTGGGCGCATATCCTTATCTATAGCCTCTGTTTAACTCGACAGTAAAATGTGTACTTGGTTGTAACAACGATTCTTCGCGGAGGGGATCGTATTCCAGGGACCTGCCCGAAACGCTACGCGTACTAGTGGCTGTACAAGAATGTAACAACTCTTGTATATCTCTCTCTCAAAAAAAAATATATTCTACTTAAAGTTTGCTCTTTTTTGATTTTGATAGATTTTGTTTTATTAATAATCTTAGGTAGGCATGGTAATTGCCGCTACCCTATTCGATGTGAAGAATTACAGTGTAGATAAAAAAATTGGCTATAAGCTCATCTAATATCCCCCGTATCTCAGGATAGTTAGCACATACATGGTATCTCTCCTGATTCATACATGGTATCAGGAGAGAACAGGAAAATAGGAGGCTGATCTATTAGCCTACACTAGCAAACTCTGGGTACAGCACAAAAATATCTTCCAGTATTCGTGGGTGAATGAAGTAGTTACAGAGCTCAAAGTACCTCATACCATTAGGTCTGAAGTCACTGATAACAGGGCCATCACAGATATAGTAGTGTTGGAGAGTATGTCCCAGTTCTTGTTCACTTAGTTTACAATTGGAATGTTCACCACTGGAGGATTCGTTACCTTCAGTTACCTGCCATAGATATCGATATCCCAGCCTAATTCTGACAATTACAATGTCACACTGTCTAGTGGATGTTTAATGCTGCCTGTACAGGCTTGTCACATGCAGTTTTAGCTGCCTTGTCCGCGTCATCATGCTGGACAATGCCTACGTGAGATGGTATCCATACAAATGAGACTGAAACTCTTGCTCTGTGTCTTAATGTTGTTTATACTGGGGGTATAGATGGTTTCATACCTCTTGACCTACACTGCAATCCCTCAAATAACGCATAACACATTGCTGTGTACCTAAGCTTAATTGCCATAGCAAATTAATGTAAGCTATAAATACCAGTTGCCTAGTTGTTAAATCTAGACTTTAAATTCAACAACCATAATATAAAAATGTTCGCACTCTGCACTGACTTTGTAATCATACCATTCAGAAATGCGTAGGAAATACCTTAGCAGATAGTGGAGACAATTGCGAAAATAGAACTAGGAAAGGAGAGGCGCCCGCATAATATTACGAATCTTTGCGGGAGTAAATTATTGTCACACGCAGTCCTCGCCTACACTGCCATTCTTAATAATTACTTCTATAGGTTATAATAATACCCGATCACACAGAACACGCATGCATTTCAAAGTGGACTCTATCCCGGTAATTCGACAGTTGCACCGGTAGGTGTCGGACTTGAAGCAATGCGTAGAAGTATAGTAAGAAAAGTGAGTAGGTAGCAACCGCGAGCGACTCCAGGAGAGAAGAGGGTGTCGAGTTTAGTTGCGAGTCGAACGCCAAGACGGGAGGTTGTCGCACCCTAGCCACCGACCCTTGCTCTGAGAATACTCTGGAATTTGGAACGTTTTCGTGGTCATTATTAGTGACATTAAATTCAGTGGACGTTTGTTTGTGTGGAAATTTAAACATTCACTGAGTGACTTAAAATCGTGTCTCATTTTACTAACTGCGAATACGCAGCATTAAACCAATGTAGTTACATAACAAAAGCTACAGAATATAATTAAAGAACTGTTCTGATAAATGGTAATCTAGAGGAAAGAGATCATGTATGAATTAAAGTCAATAAAACGAGGGAGAAGTGGTGTAGAGGCATCACTAACAACGCCACGACTAATGTGCGCCAGGAAGTGAAGAATTGAGACAATGACGGAGACACCACCTACACCCCTACTGACACCACCTACACCTCCCCACTGACACCACCGTAACACTTAAGGATCACTGACGATACTTGAGTGACACTTGTGATAACGCTCAACAGAGCTAGTGACAATTTTGTTTTAAGCCCATGCTAATTCCATTATAAACACTGTTTTAAGCCCATGCTAATTCCATTATAAACACTGTTTTAAGCCCATGCTAATTCCATTATAAACACTTGGTGCCGACTGTGCTCTTCAGTTGTGCTTAAAACTGGCACCTTTAAGAAGCTCAAGACACTGATGGTCGCACTAACAAACTAAGGGCCGCGGGCAGAACTTGACGGAGATTGAACAAAACTTAAATAAACCCTGACAACAGCAAAGAATTCCGGCAATAACCGAAGTACTCCTGACAACACTAGGGAGCCCTGACAACACTAGGGAGCCCTGACAACACTAGGGAACCCCTGACAACACTAGGGAACCCTGAAAACATTACTGAGCCCTGCCAACACACAGGAGCCCTGACAACATACAGGAGCCCTGCCAACACACAGGAGCCCTGGCAACATTACTGAGCCCTGCCAACACACAGGAGCCCTGACAATATACAGGAGCCCTGCCAACACACAGGAGCCCTGCCAACACACAGGAGCCCTGCCAACACACAGGAGCCCCGGCAACACACAGGGGCCCTGCCAACACACAGGGGCCCTGACAACATTACGAAGCCCTGACAACACACAGGAGCCCTGATAACACACAGGAGCCCTGGCACCACTAGAGAGACCTGACAACATTACGGAGCCTTGATAACACACAGGAGCCCTGACAACACACAGGAGCCCTGACAACACACAGGAGCCCTGACAACATTACGAAGCCCTGACAACACACAGGAGCCCTGACAACACACAGGAGCCCTGACAACACACAGGAGCCCTGACAACATTACGGAGCCCTGACAGCATTACGGAGCCCTGACAACACACAGGAGCCCTGACAACATTACGGAGCCCTGACAACACAGGAGCCCTGATAACACACAGGAGCCCTGAAAATACACAGGAGCCCTGACAACACACAGGAGCCCTGACAACACAGGAGCCCTGATAACACACAGGAGCCCTGACAACACACAGGAGCCCTGATAACACACAGGAGCCCTGAAAACACACAGGAGCCCTGACAACACACAGGAGCCCTGACAACACACAGGAGCCCTGACAACACACAGGATCCCTGACAACATTACGGAGCCCTGACAACACACAGGAGCCCTGACAACATTACGGAGCCCTGACAACACACAGGAGCCCTGACAACACACAGGATCTCTGACAACACACAGGAGCCCTGGCAACACACAGGAGCCCTGACAACATTACGGAGCCCTGACAACACACAGGAGCCCTGACAACACACAGGAGCCCTGACAACACACAGGAGCCCTGACAACACACAGGAGCCCTGACAACACACAGGAGCCCTGACAACACACAGGAGCCCTGACAACACACAGGAGCCCTGACAACACACAGGAGCCCTGACAACATTACGGAGCCCTGACAACACACAGGAGCCCTGACAACACACAGGAGCCCTGACAACACACATGAGCCCTGACAACACACAGGAGCCCTGACAACACACAGGAGCCCTGACAACACACAGGAGCCCTAACAGCACACAGGAGCCCTGACAACACACAGGAGCCCTAACAACACACAGGAGCCCTGACAACACACAGGAGCCCTGACAACACACAGGAGCCCTGACAACATTACGGAGCCCTGACAACACACAGGAGCCCTGACAACACACAGGAGCCCTGACAACACACAGGAGCCCTGACAACACACAGGAGCCCTGACAACACCTGAGAAAATTGGCAGCACCAAAAGACAGGTTGATCGCTGAAGAAGACTGGACAAGGGACACCGGGCCGCTGTGTATTATAGCTCGCACCTGGCGGCCGCCAAGATGATCATCAGTAAAGATCTACAGGACATTCTTGAAGGTAAGATAAGCTGCTTATTCTGGTAGTTTTATGTCTGTGTTGTCGTGGGCAGTAATCCTGTGAGGTTTATCTAACCTCCCCCCCCCCAGGCACACTATACCGAACTTCGACAGGATGCAATCCACCACAGATATCTAACTACCATCTATTTACTGCTAGGCGAATAGAGGTATCAGGTGAAAGGAACCTTCTCTAGCCTGCCGTGGGATTCGCACCTGGAACCTTTGGCTTTTGAAACGACAACTTTGCATTGTAGGATCTAAAACACACACACACACACACACACAGCCACCACTGTGTGTGGCCACCACACACAGTCGATTAAGGCAGTGTCTGGGATGCTCCCAGACGCAGGTTCGAATCTTCGTCACTGCCCTTGTGGATTTGTGTAGCCACGTCTGTGGTAGAAAATAATAATAAAAAAATACTCCTCTACCGAATCCCTCTCACCTCTCCAAAACACTATGCTCATACACGCAGAAATCAAGATAACGTGATATATCAAATGAACAAATCCACAAGGGATTCATTTGATATATTTGATTCATTTTTTTGCTGGGAAGACGGGACACCACGAGCGTAGCTCTCATCCTGTAACTACACTTAGGTAATTACACACACACACACACACACACACACACACACACACACACACACACACACACACACACACACACACACACACACACACACACCGGTGGTTGTGTGGATAGCGCGCTGGACACATAATCCTGTGGTCCGAGTTGAATTCCCGGCGCCGGCGAGAAACAATGGGTAGAGTTTCTTTCACCCTGGTACCCCTGTTGCCTAGCAGTAAATAGGTATCTGGGAGATAGACAGCTGTTATGAGCTGCTTCCTGTGTGTGTGTGTGTGTGTGAAAAATTAGTTAGTAGTTAATAACAGTTGAGAGGCGGGCCGAAAGAATAGAGCTCAACCCCAGCAAACACAACTAGGTGAATACACGCGCGCGCGCACACACACACACACACACACACACACACACACACACACACACACACACACACACACACACACACACACACACACACACACAAACACACACACACGCGCGTTATTTCACACTGATGCACCTCTTCACCTAACAGTAAATAGATACCTGGGAGCTAGACCGCTGCTACAAGCTGCTTCCTGGGATGTGTGTGTGTGTGAGCATGTGTTAGAGAAATATATGTAGTAGATGTAATGAGGAAAATAGATTGGTTAGAAAGGCGGGGTCCAATTCTAATAGCTCGATTCTACAGACACATAGTAAATACAGAGTTGAGAGGCGGGACCAAAGAGCCGAAGCTCAACCCCTGCAAGTACAATTATGTGAGGTGGGTACACACACTACCTCCCCAAACCAGGAAAGATTGACCCAGTGTGTGTACAGTCATGCAAGTATTTGTGTGGTAACACTGCATGTGTAAGGGAAGAAATGTATATGTTTATCATTCAGAATGTTCGGTATGTGCTTATTGTTTGATATATATATATATATATATATATATATATATATATATATATATATATATATATATATATATATATATATATATATATAAACGTACTGAACGAGGTGAGAATAGCTTGAGCCACCTCATCCCTTTGTGTGTATTTATACCTCAATAAACTGATTTGAATTTGTTTGACCAAAGGATCATTCTGGCTTCAAGTGTTCGTCCGTGGTTACCTAGCAGCAATTAGCGGGGTCATGTTGTAGGAAGTCGTAATTCTCCACAGCGTGGCCCGCCCTCCCTCCCTCTGCTCACACACTACACTCTATCTTCTAGATTCCAACACAAGCCCAATGGCCATAAATACCTCTAGCCAAGTTATGCTGGAGCTCTCAACTGATTTTGTCACTTGTCCCATCCAAGTATTTTGTTTGACGCGTTTCAGTGTTATAAACAATGGATCTGCTAGTTCTTGTTTGCACTCTTATTTTCATCAAAGTCATCAAGAGTTCTCATCTAATGACACAAAATTCTGTTTTGATAGCCTAAGATTATGTTCAGTATTCTTTGTTTACTGCAAGCTGGTTTGTCAACGGCATCAACTTTACCATGTTGTAGGAGACCTATGCATGAGGGAATTCACAATAATTTGATTCTGAACCCCTTTATTAATTGTATATACAGAATATCTGTCGCGTCAGAGACAAGCATGTTACAATTAGACCTAGTCATCCTGCGTCCGGTCGAGGGACCAATGACGGGCTCTCTAAAATCATTAAATATTTTTATTCGAAAACATCTGGCAACATAGGAGAGTATTACTGAGGTGATGTAAAATTATATAGATCACTCTTTTTAACAAAGAACGTTTTGGTAAAGTGCCTTATATAAGTTTAAGAGTAACCCATCCTAGGGTACAGCTCCTTACATCAGTTTAAGAGTAACCCATCCTAGGGTAGAGTGAAACAGTAAAGGTTTTTATTATTATTATTATTATTATTATTATTATTATTATTATTATTATTATTATTATTATTATTTTCTACCACAGACGTGGCCACACATTAACAATGGTAACCAGCGTATATACATTTTCTTCTTTCCTCTGTGATGGGAGCGTGGAGCCTGGGTGTATGTGAGACACCCGTCTGGGCTCCAGTATATCATATGTGAGACACCCGTCTGGGCTCCAGTATATCATATGTGAGACACCCGTCTGGGCTCCAGTATATCATCATCCCGTCCCTCTGACTTAACCTGTCACTTGCTGTTGACATTTCACAAATTGATCTCCGTGACGGTTCGTGTGAAGTTAATTTGATTAAAGCAGCTCTTAGTGTGGGTGGGAGGGACGCAGAGAGAGAGAAAATAACACGTGCAGTGGTGATAAAAAAGAACATAAAGAAGCAGGTCGAACAGCCATACAAATGGTGGGCAAAATCCTCTAGCTTAGTAATAAAGTCGACATATTGGGAACTCTTCAATGACCATGAAAACCCTTAAGGATCACTGACGATACTTGAGTGACACTCGTGATAACACTCTAAGTCTTGCTCAACCAAACAAGCAAGGCTGCCAGGATACTAACAACCCTATGGCGCATATCATAGCTTCTCGGTTATCTTGAGATGATTTCGGGGCTTTAGTGTCCCCGCGGCCCGGTCCTCGACCAGGCTTCCACCCCCAGGAAGCAGCCCGTGACAGCTGACTAACACCCAGGTACCTATTTTACTGCTAGGTAACAGGGGCATAAGGTGAAAGAAACTTTGCCCATTGTTTTTCGCCGGCGCCTGGGATCGAACCCAGGACCACAAGTCCAGCGTGCTGTCCGCTCGGCCGACCGGCTCCTCTCGACAGTAGTGGTTGTAAAACTTAATAAAAAGCACAAGTTCGCTCCCACACCACAGTATGCACACCTTTTCACCTCTCACATACATCTATGCACAGGGGCCTGGTTGCTGAGTGGACAGCGCTCAGGATTAGTAATCCTAGGGACCGGGAATCCATCCCCGGCGATGGCGGAAACAAATAGGCAGAGTTTCTTTCACCCTGATGCACCTGTTCACCTAGCAGTAAATAGGTACCTGGGAGTTAGACAGATGCTACGGGCTGCTTCATGTGGGTGTGTGTACACGTGAAGAAAAAGAAACAAAGTTGATTGACAGTTGAGAGGCGGGCCGAAAGAGCCAGAGCTCAACCCCCCCCCCCCGCAAACACAATTAGGTGACTACCTCTCCTGGACTGCCTGCCCCCATCAATCGTCGGACTTTTGGGCACGGTGAAGAACCTTGTGAGACTGCTCATCTCCAGTCCAAGGCGCCGGTATGGGGTGCATAATAAATAACTCTACTCATGACATCATGGTGGATCTGGTTTGAACATCCGAGCCTTCGACACTGGCCAGATGTTAATGGACTTATTGTTATATATAAGGTCAACATTCTCAGGGTATTAAGGTCAATATTCTCTCATCACCTGGCCCAACTTCGTGGACAGGTAAAAGTTGACAGCAGTAACACAAGGCTCACGCACCAATAGCCTTATGCAGGAACTGTCTTTCTCAGGAACGTCACTCCACCAGCAATCATTCCTGGGCTGAGCCCCATCTGGAGCTTGTTCTCTCAACACGTTAATACGCGGGAGATGAAGGCAACCGACCACCTCAAGGCTCTGACACACCTCCTGCCTCAGCCTGTCTTATATGATAGTTACTTAACATTGAAGTTTATTTATTCCTAACAGATATAGATAATAATCTCATCAAATAAATGAGTTTCTTGGGGTAGTCTTCAGATGAGCTTCAGATTCATTCCTAATGAACCCTAAATTGAAAAACAAGTCAGTGTTTGTTCCGTAGTTTAGGTCTCAACTCCGGTGTTCCGTAGTTTAGGTCTCAACTCCGGTGTTCCGTAGTTTAGGTCTCAACTCCGGTGTTCCGTAGTTTAGGTCTCAACTCCGGTGTTCCGTAGTTTAGGTCTCAACTCCGGTGTTCCGTAGTTTAGGTCTCCGTAGTTTAGGTCTCAACTCCGGTGTTCCGTAGTTTAGGTCTCAACTCCGGTGTTCCGTAGTTTAGGTCTCAACTCCGGTGTTCCGTAGTTTAGGTCTCAACTCCGGTGTTCCGTAGTTTAGGTCTCAACTCCGGTGTTCCGTAGTTTAGGTCTCAACTCCGGTGTTCCGTAGTTTAGGTCTCTACTCCGGTGTTCCGTAGTTTAGGTCTCAACTCCGGTGTTCCGTAGTTTAGGTCTCAACTCCGGTGTTCCGTAGTTTAGGTCTCAACTCCGGTGTTCCGTAGTTTAGGTCTCAACTCCGGTGTTCCGTAGTTTAGGTCTCAACTCCGGTGTTCCGTAGTTTAGGTCTCAACTCCGGTGTTCCGTAGTTTAGGTCTCAACTCCGGTGTTCCGTAGTTTAGGTCTCAACTCCGGTGTTCCGTAGTTTAGGTCTCAACTCCGGTGTTCCGTAGTTTAGGTCTCAACTCCGGTGTTCCGTAGTTTAGGTCTCAATTCCGGTGTTCCGTAGTTTAGGTCTCAACTCCGGTGTTCCGT